CTATGTCTTCAGAACTAAGACGTCATTAAAAAACTAGGAAAATATATGGTACCCTTAAGTTGCCTATTATTTGGCAATCTCAACTATATGAGAGGTTTGAACTGGAGTCCAATGATTTCCAAATCCACAGCCTTGGGGTAGCATTCCTCCTCATTTACTCTAAGTAGCTGGTCACCATTGTGCCCCCTGGACTCCAGTCCAGTAGGCCACTGGATGTATTACTCTCAAACTAAGAGAGTATGTGAAGATAAGGATTTGAGAGACACAGGTAATAACTGAGCCTTAGTAGTGACTTAGATCATCAGAGATAGTGCACAGAGTGAAGCTTAGACCAGAATGCTGAAGATACAAGAATAGAGAAAAATGAAAAGGGAAACAACATGGATATTCAGGACTGAGCAATGTAATAGAAGGAAAACGTGGGTATTGATGCCACCAATGTCAAGGGAAGATAACATTTAAAGAAAAGAAAAAACTAAAAAGTATCAAATGCTACCGAGAGGTTCAGCCTACAAGACTCAAGGTGTGCAACCATTAAGAAATGCAGAGCAATATGCACACAAGTTTAATATCCTAATATCCTACAATTTGCTTTGTTACCACTAATAGAGATGATTCCACTCTGACAGACATAAGAGATGTTGGCAGAGTCTAGTAGTTGTTTGCATGCCATTTAGGTGACTTTAAATTGTTTCCAACAACCAAGGCTACGAGGGACCTTAAGCATTTGGGGCAAGATCTGCATCGGCAGCGTTATAATGCCAGAGAAGTCTAGGGAATCTTGGGAAACAGCTGTCAGCAGGGCCCTGAAAGAAAACAAAAACAAAAACCAGCTGGCTCTCCTTGGAGCCGTTTTATGAATAATGAGATGAGAACATTCCAGACTGGTAACTAAACCCTCGATTTCCTCATAAAGCAACTATCAATAAAAGCAGAACACTGATTGCTTTAGTCAGTCAGCCAAGCTTCACTACTTTTATCAAAACTTGCTTTCAGTTCTGGGCATGTTAAAGTGAATGAAAACAGAGCTGGTTCCCCAATAGAGCTTATAATCCAGCAGAGAAAACTGGCTATGGACCAAATAAGTAAATTATATGGGATATTAGGAGATTAAAAGAAGTTAGGAAGAAAAATAGGTAAAAGACATACTTGATTTGAGATGGGAGGTGGTTGCCGTTTAACATGGAATGGTTAGGGAAGACTAGTCTAAGAGGGGGACATGTGAGCAAGGCCTTAGAGAAGGTGATGGAGGCAACCATTCAGCTGCTAGAGGTACAAGTATTCCATTCACAGAGCCTCGGAGGCAGAAGCAAGCCTGGCATTTTTATGACTTTTTATTGTGTATTAGATAAAGGTTTACAGAGCAGGCCATATTTTACATTCAGTAATTCTTACACATTGTCACTGAAGTTTTCCATTGCAACTCCCTCAATATCCCATTGTTTATCCCACTTTGTCCTTGGATTTCCTGTTTCCATTCCTCCTTCTTTCCTAACCCTCTTAACTTTGTCCAGGGGGAAATGCTGCCCTTTTGATCTGAAATGAGTTGTTCTAACTCAGAGGTGACTTCAGTCCCAGACTTGAGGGTTCCCACCAATCTCTTCTGAACTAGTAAGCCTAGCCTTTTTTATGATTTCAGATTCTGTTCCACAATTTTCTCCCACTCAACCCAGGACCTTCCACTGTGACCCTTTTGTAGCAGTTGATAGTGGTAGCCAGGAACCATCTAGTTCTCCTGGTCTCAGAATACGGAGATCAATGTTTGCATAGCCCATTGGACTAATTGCTTCAAATGGAGGAATAGCAACGGAAGAAGGAAAGGGCAAGATGAAGATGTAATGGGTCCACTGTAAATGAAGCTTGCTTGTCCTCTGTATGATAAGAAGATTCCCTGGGTATTGCACGGCAGTGTGACATGGCTTAGGCTGTGAAAGTAAAACTCTGGCTGCTGAGTTAAGAATAGATTCGGGGGTGAAGGGGGAACACAAACAAAGCAGAGAGACATTTCTGAATAGTCACTCCAATCTCAGTCAGCTGAAGCTTTGATGAGCCTGCTTTACAGTCTACTTCCTGCTCCACTGAAGCCTGCTTTCTTCACCTCCCTTCCACAGATGTTGATCCCCAGAGCAACTAATCTCCGTATCAGAATCTGCATTAATATTTTGTGTAAATTTGGCTGGGCCAGGGTTCTCCGTAGTTTGGCAATTAAGATGTAGTAGCTCCCCCATGCTGAGATCTTGTTGGC